CCGGGAAAACATTTGATGCCGAATGCTTTCGATCACTGATACAAAGAGGGTGAATTACTATACTTCCGACAGGTGCTTGGGGTGAATGGCAACTCGCGCAAATGTGTCAACCAGTGCCTGTGTAAACGAGATAAGAGACAAAATTCAACCTGCCCCAAATTTTGGCGAGCCGCCCCATATGTGAAGAATGTCTCGGAAGCTGTCAGTCGCCTCCTTAAGCCCCTTTGAATTGGAGTTTCACACAGACCGGAGCCAACCCTAAGGAGCCAGATCATGAGGCCGAAAGACCCACTGCCACAACAAGGAACATCTGGAGTAGTTTACAGGATCTGATGAAGTTGTGGGCAAAGCAGCTTTGTCGGAGAACCCGGGAGACTAATCCGGACGCGTTCGGCCAAGCACGCGGCAACAGTGAGGAGGAACGACGCCAACTCCCAAATCGCATCTCATTCGACGGGACCCAATCACACATTCAAGTTTGATGAAACATAAATTTTTGGTAGGGGCGACAACCGCGTGAACCGCGAACTGCTCGAGTTAGGGTTTTCCGGTCCTCGATCAATCAACAAGCGCTACGACCCCCCTCTACATATTCGGCGCTGAGACTTAGCCTAGGCAAAGTGGTTAGCCGCGAGGAGAGCGTGCGGATAACCACTGTCCCGATATCAGTATCGGCGAGCCAAATCACCAAGGGTCCACACGGATTACGAAGTCCGGTAGCCAGCCACTTGGTGGCGTTCTATGAGCTTGGGAGCCGTATCTGCTGTTATCTCTGATGATGGGTTCGAGCAGGAACCCAAAACGTCAGGCTCATAAAGTTCTTGTCCCAGCGATCGTGTCTCCTTCTTCAATAATATGCCCCCGCCTGCGCAAACACAAGTGATCACGTGCGCTGGCCAACTTTCGAGCGGGTGGGATAGGAGTAGAGCGATTAGCATCAGTTAACGTTAACGTGAGTGTTTGGCCACTTCGTTAAAGCAACAACGCACACGCCTCTTAAGACCTATAGCCTTATCACTCAGGTCTCCAGGCCCTTCGGTCTTAAATCAGGTCCCAGATCCACTTGAATCACCACTCAAAAGTGAGCGTAGGTTGACATGCTTTTGAAAATCCCTGAATGAGCCTAAAATCAAGTAGGCTTGTGTGGGCTTTGCCCACTTGAATCAGGATGCATTCGAGAAACCGTTTTCTTTTCGAAGTCGCTTTACTTTATTACGTATGTAAGTGTGAAGCACCTGTGAGGTTTTGAAAATATGCCAGGGGGGGAAGGTGGGTTGTGGAAAGTTTTTTGCAAAAAAGTCTCGGACTTTTGGCACGATGCCGATTTCTGTACAAGATACAGCGTACTGTCCCAGTGAGACCTATGAGACACACGTGTGCCAGTGTTCATTCTCTGCTATGGACTGCGGTTCCTTTAGAATTCATGGTTGTGTATGTCGAGCTGACATGGTTGCTGTTTGGGTAAAATATAACTACCGTGAACCATTTTAGGAATTGTTTGGTTTTTGCCGGGTCAGGGTCAGGCTACACTGCCAGCCTGCACTTTCAAAGTTGTGTATTTTGACTGTGTTTGCACCCCTGTTTGGGAACCTGGGTCGACAAAACATACAAAGACCCCATGTGAACTTCACGAAGAACACTAATGGTGGTAGCAAAAGGCCAAGTCTGTAATATTAAGAAAATAGGACTCATTTGTTAGGTACTTTATTTCGAACGAAAAAGTGGATACTGGAAAGAGCCAGAAAGACTGACCGTCGAATACGCATGGGATCGAAGACAACGCTAGGGTAAAAGGTACATGTGTCGACATGCGTGTATATTGGACTGCTGTCCATAGTGGATTGTATCCCCCATAGTCTCTTCGACATGGACAACATACAAATACAAGTTTTGTTTTAAAAGTTCCGTTTGTTTACTTGACTAATTTTGCAGGAATTATGACCGCTTTAGCAGATCATCAACCACGGAGTATAAAAATCCCAACTTTTAGGCAAAGGGGTGGACTTGTAAAGTCCAAATTTGTTTCCAACACAGCTTTCAGGTAAAAAGATACGAAAATACGTAACAGATGGAACTGAAGTCGTCCTCGATGGCGGCGCCTCTCCCTCCCCCCATGAGGCCATTTAACAACAGGTAGGCCACGCAATCCCAAAATATCTCTTCGATGCACTACCATAGGCGGAAAATCCGGCGCCCTGCTCATAACAGTGGAAGGCTATTGATCTGCCTGTAATTATCGCGCCCATTCTTTCGGAAGAGCGACAGCCTGCCTGCTCTCCTCTTGAAGCTTTGAAAACAGTCAGGAACACCTAAAACTTTGCAAATAACGAAACTAGCTGAAGACTTGTCCATATGAGTTTATCGTCAAATCTGTAACTAGAAGTGATTTCCACGCAAAATATAACACCTGTTTGTACAGCCGGATCAACCTGACGTCATTTGGGCTATTTGAGGTCAAATACCTGATGTACTCTTCCATGGATTGCTGTGTCCTGGCGGTATGAGCGAGCCTGGACCTCCGAATCCCTTGAAGTTAATTCTCCATGGCTGTGAAAGATACTTGTTATTTCCCTCATACAATGAACTTGTATTTTGCATTAATGTTAGTAACACCCTTGTCGTTTCATTTGTGTGACTTCAACTACTCATTATCATCGGCCTAGACAGCTTCAGAATTGTGAATTCAAACGGTTTCTTCGAAGTAAGGTTCTTTCCCAGAAGACCACTCAAAGCCTCCAAATTTCAGTCGTCCCCATGGACTCTCAATGTTATTGACATACGATCGAGATGACCAGGAATAAGCACCATGATGCAGGCTAGGGCCTCCAAACTGCGCAATCTGTATTCGTAGGCCCTCCCAACTGCGGTTCGTCCGCTAAGTCATCTAGACGATATGTTTGTTTACAGCCCCTCTGAGTTGAGTAGTGCGTGAATAATGCGTTTATGTGAGAACCTACACATCGCTCATACTTTAATACATGAAATGTTGCATATGTCATTGGGTAATCGCGCGATAACCCACCTGTATCATCGTGGCAATTGGCAATATTGGTTTAAACATATGCGTTAACTTATGCTTGAAATAACCAGTGCCTCTTAATCAAGGCAAAAGAGGGAGAAACGCTCGAAACGTCAGTTCACTTTTCGGTCTTACAGTCATTCCGGAAGAAAGATTCTCGGCTAACACACTTTGCTTGCGCTCGTCTAAATATTATTTATACACACAATGAAAATGGGCCACCATCCACGTACAAAGCAACAGACTTGAGAAGACGCAATGAGGAAGGAGAAGTAGGATGCTATCATTTGTAGCGGTAGGGCTAGGAAGAGAAAAATGCCTGACTTCAGAGATTTATAAGAAATCAAAGTCTCACATGGCACGAGTAGGCGGAGGTGCAACACGGCAGGTGCTGTCATAGTGAATATTAACAAAACGGAAATAAGGTGGTGGGTCTAGATTCAGACTTCAAATGCCGTCGAGTACTGTAAAACAAGTAAATGTACATAAACAAAAAATAAAATAAAGGAATGCGCACGGGGCCCAGACTAGGCAATTGGAATATGAGAAGGATAGGATAGGGTAAAGAAGGGCTCAAAGTTGCACAAATAAGAAAAAGTCAAGAGCGGACCACATCCATGCTCGAACGACCTGGAATGAGAAAGAAGACATATGTGGGGGTCACTGGCACATGATGATAATTCAGTCAAACTTTACGCCTGTCAACTACTAACAAAGTTACTTACATCACATGCAACGAAGACCGAAGGGTCGATCACCGTGCTCATATCCGGAAGTCAGATAATTGGTCGTGAAGCGAGTAATACCGCCAAAGCATCGAAATGTTTCTTTACTCACTAACGCGAACCAAAGGTGTTTGGTTGTGATTCTTCGTAAGGTTTTAGGAAACTTCCCAGCACGCCTCTAAGGCTGGTGTCGACAGCATTATTTTGGTACTGTTTACGCAAAAGGCCTCATACTTACCGTAGTAGACACAGTTCCTTTGAGAGCTAAGGTGCATAGTTAGTTTGACTGTAAACACATTTAGCCATACATACTTTCAAGGTTCGTGGTGGAAATACGCGGTCGGAGATCCACTGAACAGTTCAAATTATAACTTTAATTAGTATTTATATAGCTTGCCATAACAAATGAAGAGGTCCGCTGCTGCACCGAGGAGGGTACAGTGACGAAACTTAATTGAATCTGCTCACAGCAAATCAGACGATTGCTGCATTTGTCTCATTCGACTTTCCCACACCAATCGTTTGTCACTGATAGAACAAAGTCAAGGCGACTGCGAGTTAACGTGGACAGAGCTTAAAAAAGTTGGATAGCCCGTCTACATACTTCAAACATCACCGAGCCTCTAATCCCACACGAACCAGGTGTCAAGTAAAAATTGTGAACTCGTATCTCCCATGAAGTCACATTAAGAAAGAGCCCTTACAGCCTGACTCTCAATTCTGAGGAGAACTGATTTACGTTGCCTGATTAGCTAATTGCAGCTTACAGGCCAGAAATGGTCATTAAAGTCTCCTTTGTCTCTTTCGGCAATGCTATTCTGCCTATGGTACTAGTTTCTGTGTTGTTGTAATTTGCCAGTAATGTTATTTTGTCCATATAAATATAAAAGGAAATTTTAACCGAAGTTCTGAAATGTGTTCTCGATTAGGAAGAACTACTCAGGTGGGACGGTGAGATGGATTATAGCGCAGCATAATCCCCAAGACATTTTAGTCCCGCCAGGATGCCGGTCTTTGAATGAGCCTCTCCCCGGCCGCTAACAAAAAGCGCACTCGGTAATAAACGTCTACTAACCTTTCTCCAAGTACAGAATTTAGGGAAGATGTGACTTGTTAGCTTATGAATACAAGAATGAATATTTTGTTCCCTAAGACATACTTGAGTTCATCAACACATCGAAAATCAATGGGACAATTTTTCACCACCGGCCGGATTTGTGTTTAACGCTTCCCTGACAATGCTTGTAAACTAGCATTAGATACAATTACTATTATTGTTATTGTCACTAATTCATATTACCTAAGTAGCCATTTTTTCCGAGTTTGGTTTTGCAGGCGTTCGCAAAGAAGCTCATTCAAAATCTGGCATCCTGGCATGACTAACATATCTTGGGATTATGCTGCACTATACTCAATCTTACAGTTCCATCTCAGCGATCCCTTCTTATCCAAAATACATTTTAGAATTTCATCAAGCATTTAATGAGTCGGATCAGCTAATGTATACATACGTATATATATATATATGTTGTAGAGTAGAAGTGGTAGGCATTCCGAGAACCTCTTCCTTTTTCAATATATATATATATATATATATACGTATATACATACGTATATACATGTGCATAAACAAATTAATATAAACATATATAAGGTCAAGTGCAGCCGAATCCCCCAGCCCTGCGCTCAGGGCGATAACTTATTCGACACCAATAGTAATTGGAGACGCGTGCGAAGCGTTCGTAAATGCAAGACACGTAACTATTGTAATCTACTATTTACTGAGACATTACAATCCAATTTATACAATAACAGTTATTGGAATCTCGGTGCAGTAAACGTTATTCGTGACTCCAATGTGCATTTCGCATGAGCTTAACCGGTGACGGTTAGCGCGCTTGGCAAATTGAGCCTTTCTAAGTCCCGCATTCACTTTATCCTTTCGTAACGGAGGAAAAATAGTGTTTCCTAAGGAGTATAGTCCTTTTGCTTCTAATACAGCATTATTGCAAATCATCGAACCTGATTCGGACCTGATTAAAGGTGTGAAAGTGACTTCCAGTTTAAAAGATAAAACAATTTGAGTAGGCATTGATCGCATTAAGCAGCCTGTCGAACAAAGTCGAAAAAAGTGTGGGGCGGAGCCAGTTCCAGAGCACACAACTTAGGGAAGTTGACTGTCGAACACTCCTAGACTGGATCTTCCAGGCTTCCATTTATGAAGGAAACAATTAATGGAGCAGTCCGTGGGGCTAACTGGAAGCACCCCAACAGCCCTGAACTGCTAAGCTCTCGATGGAATTTTCGGGCGGGGCAACAAGCTAGTCTTAGTTGAAGTAAGAGCTTCCTATATTCAATAGAAAAAATTCAGCTTGAAATGCATATAGTTCTTATATAAAGTACGGCAGTAGCAACGGCTGGGTAATGACCTCTGAAGCAATCGCCGAACTGTCAGTAGATGGCCATACAACTGGTGGGCAATGACACATGCATCGAAATCAAGCAAAGCATAACTTCTTGCCAGGCAGACGGACAGACTTTAATTAAGTATATTCATCCCAAGTCAGCTGGAGCCCGACTCGTGGTCCAAAATCTAAAACTGAGTCTCGCCCCTCAGTCACTGGTCGAGTTGTATAACAATGGGTTCCGGTAAAAAATAGAGGACTATGGAGGAATTTCACGGAGTATAACTTTGGTTACAGTAGGGCACCACGTGCAAACGATTTTATAGCCAGTCATGCAGCAGGCAGCATAACCTTAGAAAATAATTTCGTTGGTGGGAGTGTCGACCAAAGCATATAATTCCAACTTTATGTTCAACCAGGAGGTGAGCAGGTTAAATAAGTCTCTCTAAACTGTAGTTCCACACCAAGTACGCTGATAACATGGTCATAATGTCGGATACCGCATTGCACATAGAATTAACTGATGAGGTATACGACTGCCTCCCAAATGCGCGTGGGGGCGCTGTATGGTACCTGTAAATGCCACACTGCATACCTCGTATCTTATTTGTTCAATGACTTGAATAAGGCGAAGGCGACAGAGGCGCGTTTGCCTTATTCAAATGTATTCCGGGAAATCATTGCTTCAATCAGTGACTTTAATCAGGTAATGCTAATTAGCTCCCCATCCTCAGAGGTTAAAGTCTCAATCCGGAAGGCTGCGATGGCTAGATCAGGTGGTCCAGACTCACCCTCAGGCGGAAGATAACTGCCTTGTCCGTACCACAAATTACGGAGGTTTCTTCAAACCGAATTTAATTGAACAATTTGGAAGGAGAGGATTTATGACTGCTAAGACAATGTGCGTATGTAGACCACTATAATTGAATCGAAGATCAGGCTAGCAGAGGGAAAGTTAAAACACTGTTTTCTGTCTTCTGGCCAGTAAAACTCGTCAATTCCCTTTTCCTCTGCTACTTGGGAGCTTCAAAGTCCGGGTCTTGGGTAGCTGGAAAAGGGTTCGAGGACGTGAATGTATCTCAATGGAAGTTTGCCTTCCTACCTGAAGTAGGTCGTGTTCGGGTAGAACGTGAGTTGCCAGGTCGGTCAGTGCTCACAGCGTCGCCCCTTGGTAGACTACGCTCCATTGAAACAGCCACCTTCCTGTGTTCAGGGGTTCTCAGAATCCGAGGGCGGCTATTAAAGGCCTTCTGATACTCAGGATGGCTCTCTAGGTTGGAACTGCCCGCTGAAGACGTTTGCTTGGCATTTGTGGAAGTCTTCGTCCCATCCTCGTGTGAAATCTTCATTATGTCTTTAACAAAATTGAGCAGGAGACTAAAGTGAGCTCTCCAAAGGCATAAATCACAATAATAAGTACTTAAATCGGTAAAAATGGGCGAAACTGTTTCGGAATGCAAATTTCGTTTTGAGAAACGTGAACAAAAAATCTTTGTTTAAAAAGTGGCCTTCGCTTTTGCGACCATCTACTCTTCACAGCTGTGAATGTGGTGGAACTGTGACATCTTCTAAAGAATGGCATCTCTCTGCGGATGACTTGGCGAATCGGAAAATGTCTTCGCGAGCCCGTTTAGTGTGCCTGTGCCCTGACTCGGGGCTACGCGTTATTACATCGGGAGGCATGAAACGATAAAAGAGAAAAAGCCTCAAAAGGCTAAACTACCCCATGTGTAAGAATCAAAAAGTCCAAAATTCGAACCCCTACCTGCGTTCGCCAACGGGTTGTTATTTCTAGGAGCATTGTCTTCAGGAATAGCTGGTGGCGTTGGTGTGCTTCTAGATTTCCTGAAAAAAGCAAAACTAGGTTAGTTTAAAGAGATCATTATTTCTGTGTAAGCGTAAATTTGAGGAGGGAATATTGGAAAAATCATGCACTTGGATCGTGCGTTCGCGTAATCACGAGAGGGCAGGAGGACTAGAGCGAATATTTGCACGGCAATAAGCACGAACGTACGAAGAGGAATGAAGGTGTAATCCTGTCGGAACATTAAATCGTGACCACTACATCTTAGGCCTTGAGCTCAAGGACGGATGTTCCAACTGTGACCCTAAAATGGTTTTCCCAGTCCGAATACACGTTGTATCATCAAAATGACACTGCGATCTGACGCATAATTCAAAATCTTGGAAGGCTGACGTCTTTTTTCAAGTGCTTTCCATACAAAGTGATTGTAACGACTAGAAGGATGAATTATCAAAGTGCAAGCTACCTTTCTGACAAAGCTAATGAAGTAATTAAAAACGAAGTCCTTAGCCACCAAGTGTTTGTGTGACGACTGCGGCAATTCTCCAAGCGCCAAAACGGTAGAAGATAATTTAAACTACCAGGACTTGCCAGTTTTTAGAGTTTGTTGACTGGTGAAGCTGAGAGTCCATTCCCGCACGAGCCCGACCGGGTGTCGAAGGACGACGCAGGAGACCGGCGCCATTGAGATGGCTCTCCGTCTCATAGTGCTGGATGTGTTGCAGACCAAGATTTGGGGTCCCCTGACCCATCTTACCGCCCTTGCTGGCCTCCTTCATCACTCTATAATCTTTTTGTAGAAGTTGTTCGCCAGTCAGCTCATATCCATGGGAGTTGGGGTAGGCAGGACGATTCTCTGTGGGTGCACGACTACCAAACGGCGGGCGTCTACTGTTCATCTCGAAGAACTCATCGTCCTTGTCAATTTCATGCTCCATCTGTTCGGCATCTTCCTACATACATAAAAAATAAGAAAAAGACAGCTTTTTCGTCGTTCGCAATCTTAACAATATAGAACGAGGTGAGTGGTTGGACCTAAAATCAAAGTACAACCCTTGTGGTCAGTACGGGTTATGGAAAGATATGTGCACCAAGTTATTCATGGCTGGCAACAAAAAGGTAAAATCGTCTTTCGCCTGATTGACAGCAGTCATCGAGCAGATGTCAGTCAGGAATTTTGAGTAATTTACAAGACGTCGGCGAAACTCTGCAAATTCCTACGCCAGTGGATACGTGCGATGGCAGAGACGGTGGCCGTGCGGTTAGCCAGCCTGGTCCTGCGTTCGCACTGGGCACTTGTTAAGGTTCTTCGGCTACTGAACCCCAGACATTACTACCCGCACTGCACCACGTCATTTAGACCGACGAAGCACATGCGGACCGAAGTGATGACTTTTCCCTGCCTGACAATGAATGATAGATGAAGTGTGCTCGCTAATCTCAATTTCTTCAAATGCAATTTTCATGCATTTTATCAATATTTTGCCATTTCATCATTATTATTTTATTGCTGTTACACTTATTTATATTGCCTTAAAGTAAGTTGGTCAAAGGCAAGGCGAATTATAAGAACCACGAAGTCTGCTTGATTACCCAGTTTAACAGTGTTCACTGAGTGACTCACGTTTTTGACCAACAGCGTATAATTCATACATAAGTAGCTGAAGTGTCATAAATAGGTGGAAAAGTACCTGGATGTTTCGACTGATGAGAATGGAAGTGGACTCTAACTAAAAACTCCTCATATGCAAGAGCTAGATCAGCGTCCTTAAATAATTATCCATGTAAGCATTCTCTATCTCGATGGACAGAGCTCGTACAAAGCTCGATAGTTAACGCAATGGATTTCCGTCTGTTTTAAGGCAGCTTCAGGTCACAACCACCTTGAACTTGGGCAGAGTGAGGTTTTATGATAACGGCTATGATTCGGCAACAATCATCTCAGGTTGCCTTTTTGAAAGCATTTGAGTTCTTCCACAGCAAACCATCAAATGGACCGTGTAAAATTGTGCAGTATTTAAATAATTATTAAAAAACTCCTTGATTAAGGACAGTACAAAATATTCCTGACGTTTTTGGATGATAAGCCAGAGCTTGTCTACGAAAATTAGACAAGTCGAGGGAGACTTAATACGGCTTTGAGGGGTTATGGCGTTGGGGAACCAAATTCCCGCCCATCTGGAAAATTCAGGCAGATTCCTGATCGCGATTCCGATTTTAAGCTTATCAATGCACTGAAATCCGGCCATGCAGGGCAAACAGGTGACTAAACGATCTAAATAAATATTCCAAATAGCGCGGAATGTTGACTAACATCACCCTGCTTTTCTAAGGGTAACGCCGACGAAGTACGCTTGAATTTACACGTTTTAGTGCATATAAGCGGACTCGAGGGGACCAGGAAAACAATGTCGGGTTATCTTGGAAACATATTTATGTATTCGACTACATTCGAGAAAATTTTTTGATGAAGTCGGCAAGCCGAAGAATATTCTGGGGAAAGGCGGACACTTGTAAAGGTAGACGTTACTGCAAAGCAAAATACTGTCTTCCATAAATTTATAATCATCTAAATTTTGCATAAGCAAACCCTTAACCTCGTAGTTTGCCATTCTTATTCCATCTTCTTAACTCTGCCAGCCCCAATCCTTGTCTGAGTACCTTCCAGCTGTTCACCGTTTGATACCCCCCTAATCCCCATGAGACGTCAGTTGTTCAACCGATGTATGGTCAGGCTAACAGTAGAACCTACTTTCAACTACTTCAAAAGTGTGTGCATAGCAAGGTTATGGGAAAGATACTTTCAATCTTGCATACGACAACCGCTAAAGTGCTTTTTTAAACCTCTGATGTCAGGGTATGCGCTGAATGCACATTGTACTAACTCTGAAAACGCCATAACTCACCTCATCGTCGTACTCATCGTCGTCCTCATCATTGGAATCGTTGGCTGACTGGATGTCAACTAAAAGCGGAAGCACAGTTAAAAGGGAGAAGAGGGCGACAGAACATCTGCAGAATCATTTTGAACTTCTCACGATACTACCAAACGATTAACTTCTGGAATTCGATAGCCGGCGCCAAATACAGGCAGTCTGAATATTCCATACTGAACATCTTATGAAGGACAAACGCAAGAAAAGTGATATTTTCAGGTTATACACACGCACATCTTTCATGCATGACTTAGGCGTTCATAATAAGTTAAGAGCAGCAGCGACGTGCTGCACCCGCGTTGAGCCTTCAAAGACAAACAGTGGCAATTCTCTGTCCTGTTAATTCAACACTGAGAGTGGTGCATGACAAATTTACAGAAATGTCTTTGCAACTATGTGGGACCTGGTTTCCACTCCTCCCGCACCATGCGTGCAGTCTTACTGGCACCGCACCCGATTAACAACGCGGCAACAAAGTTGAAGGGGTGATCTTGCTCAAGAACGATAACGGGTCTTTCCGTCAACGTGTGATCCAAGTACACACAACCTGTCCCCTGGTTCCGTCCTTCTGCCAGCAGCAAGCGCATGAAGTGCTGTAGATAACGCACGCCTCCCCAAACCGTAGCAGGTGGTGTTCCTGGGATAGGTATCCCCTGATCGATTGCGTAGGCGACGTTCTGAGGACAGTCTCTAATGTCTGACTTATCTGATAGAGTTAAAAGGTTGTAGCAGATGTGACAGTTGGTGCATCTCAATCACCAAAACTCAGGCCTAGGTCCCATTTCGGAGAGACATACAAGTAGGTGTCAACGGGTGGGGGTTAACGGTTGTTTGAAGCGAACAGACAAACTAGAAATGCAACGAACCAAATTCTTCGGTAATAAAAGCTTCCAAATGAAAAGTACTCTATAAGATAACACTGTTACTGGAACCGTTCCTTACCCGAATTCATCTGTTTAATGATGAATTCAAACTGGCGGTTCAACTCTGGTTGATCGCTCCGCATAAAGCACCGAAGTATGCCTTCAAGGTCCTACCAAAAGTAAGGGGGCGTATGAGAAAACGAGGATAGAAATTAATGCCAAATCTTCCATTCTAATTCCTAAAAGCAGTTAGGGCCTCGCCGTAAGTGAAGCTAAGATAAACGGCGCATGCAGTTAAGTCGGACAATTCCAGCAAGGAACGGTACAATATACACATAAATAAATATATATGTACTGGAAGATGGGCATCTCAAGAAACATAATTCGAAGAAATTAGGTAGAAATTGGGTTGGGAGAAAGCACGCATTGCCGGTTCCTGCCCATACAAGAAAGGCCGAGAATTTCTAGAGGCCACTAACTGCAATGATTCATCCATCCATCGGCGCATCGATCTGGGCGCCATGTACACAAATCTCAAAGAAAAATGGAAAAGGTGATAACTCATTAAAACGTGACGTCAGCCCACAGCCTCGGCTCATCCTCTGCACTGACAAAGTAATATCTATTTTTCGGGCATGTTTAAATTTCAACTGTTTTTCACGCCTTCTACACGTCTGATGACGACCTGTGGAACCAGAGTCGAAAATGTGTAAACTAAAGTTTGTTTAGTTTCTCAAAGAACTAATTTTTCTTCGAATAAATATACATACATAACTCGGACTAAAAAGACGGAAGTCTTTAAAGGCGGGATTTTGGGTCGAGAGCTCGGGGCATGAGTTTTTGGGGTCAGTCCCGAAATTCGATTCAATACCTAAGTTGAAGAGCTCACCGAGGAGCTGAAACCGCCGCTATTGAGTCATATAGCAGCAGAAACACCAGTGAAACAAGTGTCTGAGCATTTAGCTGGTGCCTATTTTAGGGGTGTAGCAATGCCTTTGTCAAATGGAAATTAAACTACTGCTAGAACCACCCGTTTTTATAATAGGCATTACACGGTTATTACGCAGATGATTTTCCTTAACTCAAATGCTAATTAGACTTTAAGAACTGACCCTAGAGAGTCGTGTCCCGCGCACCTAACTCCAAGCTCTGCGTTGAATAATTCCTAAAAATATTAGATTGATATTTAGCTGGAGTTTTTATATCAGAAACCAGGGTAGCGGACGCTAGAGGACGTACTGAGGAGCCAAACCCCTCGCATTTGCATCATCCATCAGGAGACACATAGGAAAAGCACGTTTCTGGGCCTTTAGTTAATGCCTATGTTGGGAATATGGTAAAACTGCTGTGCTATATATATATATATAGGCAGAATGATATTACCGACAAAGACAAGGGAGACTGGAATGGCCATTTCTGGCTTATTAGCCGTCATCAGCCACCCATACCCAAGCCTGAAGTGTGGAACACCCGAGCCTCGAACTCGCGACCTGTTGGTTTAGAAGTCAACGCCTCTACTCACCGGGCCACGAGCCCGTTGCCCTGTCGGTTTTCGATCGTGACTTCTAAACCAACAGGTCGCGAGTTCGAGGCTCGGGTGTTCCACACTTCGGGCTTGGGTATGGCTGGCTGACGACGGCTAATAAGCCAGAAATGGCCATTCCAGTCTCCCTTGTCTTTGTCGGTAATATCATTCTGCCTATATATCATGCGCCGCTGCGCGGCTGCTGGTTGGGCTCGAGAGAGAGCCCTTAAGGCACAACGGAACGAGTGAGTTCCGTATGAACGATCGGTGAGCGCCCCCTAACATTATATACATATATATATATTGAAAATAAGTAAGATTCTTTGGGAAGGGAATAAACTTTAATGAGTAAATTTTCGAGTCTGGATCCCCAGCTCGTCGTCAGACTTTTGGGCAATGTACAAAAACAATTAACTATTTAACCGTGTCAAACAAGTGATTCTATGGTTGGCCGAAGTCTGCGCCAATGCGCGTCAACGATTTCGTCATCCCTTCGGCATTGGCTGCGCTCGCTTCCATTTGTCCTTGAGAAATTTGTATGTGGCATCTAAATCGATATGCCGATTGATGCATGTCTACAAGATACCATGTTCCAGTTGTGATGCCGTGTATTGTGGCCAAACTGGGAAATCCGCCTCTACCCGCTTACATGAGCATCAGTTAGCGGTGAGGAGACGAGATCATTTATCCCAGGTGGCTATGCACACACTGGACACTGGACACAAATTTGCATGGGAGAACACCCGCATTGTTGGCGCCTGCCCAATAAGGAAAGGCCGCGAATTCCTGGAAGCAATGCACTCAGATGAGGCATGCATCAATCGGCATATCGATTTAGATGCCACATACAAATTTCTCAAGGACAAATGGAAGCGAGCGCAGCCAATGCCGAAGGGATGACGAAATCGTTGACGCGCATTGGCGCAGACTTCGGCCAACCATAGAATCACTTGTTTGACACGGTTAAATAGTTAATTGTTTTTGTACATTGCCCAAAAGTCTGACGACGAGCTGGGGATCCAGACTCGAAAATTTACTCATTAAAGTTTATTCCCTTCCCAAAGAATCTTACTTATTTTCAATTAAATTTCTTGGGATGCCCGTTTTCCAGCATATATATATATATATTATCTATCTCAGAGGTGGACCAGCTGCGCCAGGTGTGACAGCGCATGTCTGTACATCCGGTCCCAGCTGGTGGTCAGGGATATGATTGGCTGAATAAAGGTAAACAAGCCCGAAACAGTTCTGTATCCATCTACTCCCCAGACTCTGTCGTCTTTCCTCTGATATATACATTTAGATAATGGTAGAGGCGCTTACCGATCGTTCTTACGGAACTCACTCGTTCCGTTTGTACCTTACGACCTCTCTCTCGAGCCCAACCAGCAGACGCACAGCGGCGCATGATATAGGCAGACTGTTATTAACGACAAAGACAAGGGAGACTGGAATGGCCATTTTGACTTATTAGCCATCGTCAACCAGTCATAACAAAGTCCCGAAGTGTGAAACACCCGGGGCTCAAACTCGCGACCTGGTAGTTAGAAGTCCAACGCCTCTAACCACTGGGCCACGAGCCCGTTGCCCTGTCGGTTTTCGATCGGAACGAGTGAGTTCCGTAGAAACGATCGGTAAGCACCCCTCTACCATTGTATATTCCCGATCGCAACCGACAGGACACTAGCCCGTGGCTCAGTGGTTAGAGGCGTTGCACATCTAAATAACAGGTCGCGGGATCGAGCCCCAGGTGTTCCACACTTCGGGGTTTTGGTATGGCTGGCTGACGACGGCTAATATGCCAAAAAGGGCCATTCCAGTCTCCCTTGTTTTTGTCGATAATACCATCCTGCTTATATCATGCGCAGCTGTGCGGCCGCTGGTTGGGCTCGAGAGAGAGCCCTTAGGGCACAACAATAAGAGTGAGTTCCGTAGAAACGATCGGTGAGCGCCCCTCTACCATTACATTTATATTTATATTCCATAGACAGCTCTTTAAAAGTACAACAGGCCAGACGCAGGCAGTTGTTTCGCGGTCGTTACCGTTTATCAGTACGTCGTGCGTGTATGTTTCGGTTCGATGTGATAAGTGAACAAAATTTAGGGAGAAGAGACTTCTCTGGTATAGTGACAGAACAGTTGGCATAGGAGTGAAAATGAGGAAGGGGGGTACCCTGGGCAGCCCGGCCACGGGACAATACGAATAAACGAAGTCGGGAATGAAAGACATTTACCTGCTAATGCTTCCCGTGAATCACGCTTAAGCAATTGCAAACAGGCTAATAAGTGAGATCAATGAACAAAATTTTGGATGCTAAGTCTGGAAACCGCCGACTTAACTGCGGAAATTGCGATCAATTTTGTTTAAATTGTCGCTGTGGATAGGAGGCTGAACGCTCCCAAGTGGGATAAAGTGCAGGTGTGTCCAGACTCCATAAAATATAAACTTCGGCGAACAGAAACAAACTTTTCTACAAGTTACCATGGCTTCGGCCGTACGTTGTAGCTCTGGGAGTGAGAGGATGGAAAAGAGGGCCCCATTGACGTAGGAGAGGATGCTGGTATTCTCGTGACTAATAAGATCCGTCAGCAATTTGAGAACTCGGTTACTCATCGGTACACAGCGTTGCTTGCCTAGAAATTTACAAAAGTATGTCCGCTGGGTCATCAGAAACACTATATAAGATTCTCCCAACATCCCTCCTGCTGATAATGTGATGAGACATACGATGAGAAATCCCTTATAGGCAGCTCCAAGGATAATACGCCTTCAGTTCTCGGAGACACTTGTTCGTAAAACTGAATTCTGATGATGATTTTAATGGGGATGAGCAAAAAATACTTCAATAGGATGCAGGGTTAGTGATAAACATTCCCCATGTGAGTAACTTCCTGCTGTATAGATACTGCCTGCTTAGATAGCGCAGAAGAAGGTTCTTAAACTTTCTGCAGTAGTTTAAATATAGTAACTTGTATTTGCTGATAGATTTTGTACAAAATATCCAGTAGCCCTTAGGTTTTCTTGATCTCTATTAAACGTTGCCACTATGCCAACAATTCGCAGAGATGCGGTTTCAGTTTACTGCCAATGCTATATAATTTTGTCCATAAATCCAGTTTCGCAATAAGTTTTTATCACTGATCTGACATAATTAAAAAGCCCAGGTCGGCAGAAGTTCCTAAACTCATTCGGAAACCACTTGCGGCCGACACAACTTCAATTCAACGCAGAGCGATTTGAGAGAATAGATAGATACCTTAACATATTCTTAATGGAGTTTCAGAGACGCCGAGACATTAGCGCAATGAAAGTTTGTCAAAATTTAGTGGAAAACCTGCAGTCCGAAGACAGAGATTCATGAACAACGCCACCGCGTACTCCAGCGTGTAGTCCGATTGGTTGTCAGTGAGTTCAAGTAGATCCACCAGCCACTCAACCATGCCAAGTTCTACCATTGCAGTCTGCATTGATCCTCTGCATAAAAGCAAAAGTGCAGTTCGACAGTGTTCGAAAAGGATCACCTGAATACTCGTCAAGTTATTAGCAGAAAAGTCGTTGAAATTTTACAAAGCAGGATGGTGCACATAGATAGATTGCGATTGGTCAGATCACTGTGAAAAATGAAACGCATTAAGAGTTTCTGTGCCCTTTATCCGATTTTCTAGACTGTGAGTTCGGGGAGCACACAGTGTCCTAAAAAAATACAAAGCCCCACAAAGAAGTCGATCGATATTATCGACAGGAGCAGCCAGCACTCCGCTTATTCGCCTGCTTGCGTTTATTTGCCTAGTTTACATAGTATTCCCCTTTAATTTGTGTCACCTAAATCAATTAGAATTTATAATCCACAAATACCAGTAGTTCGTTGTTCAATGGTCTATTTTGTAATGCGGGAAAAACGTTCTATTTTGGCGTAAAACTCGTAGAGTAAAAACGGTCGGCCCTGTTAAGGCACAAGAAATAGTTGCTTCTCTAAATATAGACTAGACAAAAATGACTTTCAAAAATAGCGATCTTGCAGTCGAGTAATTATCAAGCTCAAGAGGACCGAAAATGCGTCCGAAACAACTCTCCTATTTATTGCTCCTGTTAAAAAGGGCCTAAGATGACTACTTTAGCTGTCAGTAGTTATTCGCACCTCTGCAGTAGGCCAGCGAAATAAAAGACTAAGATAAATGCAGTTCCAATGACAGGAAGCGAGATACAAGGTTGCATTGGTTAGATCAGGAAACACCTGCCTAGGGTATAATCGTCAACTAATTTCCATCCTCGCTTCAAAGTTAAACGGCTCACATTAACAAATTGCGACCGACGCAAAGTCAAAAGAGATTAGCGATGATAAAGAAGGAAGGGAAGGTAGCACGTAAGGAAGAGGATGAAGTGGAAGTCGCCCATAATGGAGCTTTCGGAATGGAACCGCAGAATATCGTTAACGACAGCAACTATTTGAGTCTGGTTCCTGGTTCCCCATTAGATTTACTTGTTTCTTCCAACTGGTTTGAACGCAAATGGAAGACTGCGGGCTAAAAGCATTTGATTGGTAGACAGCGTAAAGGTTTATTGCAGAAATCCTCATCGACGTGTTTGAGAAGCATTTAGTCCGTCATGCCAAGTTGCACGACCTAGCATATAAAATATCTGGAGTCAGATACTTATATTATGTGCAAACGATTCAGCCAGACCGATACTGAGGGCAGTTTGCACCGAAAACCACAAGATGATTTTAACTTATTTCTGTGTGTGATTCTCTATGTTAATGTTAGAGCTTGTAAAAGTGACAGCCCACTCAGTAGGTGCTAATTAAAAGAGTCAGGGAATTTTAAGGTGGAGTCTGCATGAGAATGCAAATTGTGTTGTCTTGTTAGTTCCTTGATCTTGCAGTCCTTCCGAGGTCAAGTTTGGGAATCGACCCTCTCCCGTTAATTAAGTTAAATACAAGAAAATAAAGGTAGTCGAAAATTCTGAAGTGAAAGGGAAAGGCACTATAAATAGACAAAATGGCCTGTTACCCACGCCCGCGTTGTCACAAGCAGAAGAGAATAGGCAAAACATATATGTAAAAGTAGGCATTAACCGATAAAGGACAGAACGGACAGGTGCGTGGAAAGTGAATTGACCCAAGGCCGGCTAAAGCACACCCCTCAGTTCTCGCTGTGTGAGTTTATGACTGGGCAAGTCGCCGACTTAAGTCCTATTTCAAGACTATCCATCTTAGTCAACGTAACGCAAGCCGAAAAAAATACAGGAATTATCCTTTAACATGCAGGACTAATCAACTTGTCAGGGTCTTGCGCGTCCGTTCTCTTCGAAGTAACCGTGTGATACTTAAACAGTTTATTTAAGACAAATTCACTGTTAACCACTATCGTGTGATTACAGCACCGACGGCCATCTCAACAGCCGACACATGCAGGTCCCAAGACATCTCTCAACAACTTCTGTCCACGACCTGCTTTTCGCGTAAAAATGCACACTCAACGGCGAACAGAAACAGACACTTAACTAGGCATGAACCTTTTCACCTTCGGCTGCGCCAACCTACGACTGACCACCGGCACGGACAAAACGTGGCCGTGCACCAATCATCATCCAAATCTGCATACAGTGAAATCGCCTCCGGTCTCTACCTCGGCATCAAACTGGAGATGTACAAAGCTGTCATCTTGACGACGCCACTTTATGGTGCGGAGACTTAAACAATCCATAAGATAAAAGCGCGAAAACTTAATTATTTCTACCTGAGTTGACCCGGCGGATACTAAAGCTGAGGGGGTTGGACAGGATCCCGGACATATAAGTTTTCGAACGGACCGAAATTCTCAGCGTTCACATCATACTGAGACAACTACAGCTACAATGGAGTGTCCACCTCGTCAGGATGGACGATGAATGACTACCCAAACGGCTTTTCTACGAGGATTTTGACACGGGTGCTCACCGAAAGGGAGGTCAAGCACGCTGTCACAAGGAATCCTTGAAGAATTCCATGAAGCGCCTACATATCAATCAGAATACCTGGGAGGACACTGCACAGAACCTACTGGCCTAGAGAAGAGTCGTGAAGACTGAAGCAGCAATCCACGAAGCTAACAGGGTCGTCATTGCCAGAGCCAAAAGAAAACTTTGCAAGTCTTAGGAGCCCTTGACCCACAACGCCAACATCCAACCCCTCCCAACTTGCCCGCGCCGTCAACGGACATTCCGCGCGCAGTTCAGCCTCTTCGGACATCTCCGGATAAAATGCACCAGAAGCACGACAACCCAAACTGCTCCTTTAACGACCGCTCCTGTTCCACAGCCACCCTCCCCCCGCCCCCGTCGTCCACGACGACAACCCCCCTCGGTATCGGTGCTCAAAATCCCCGTGCCTCGTCGCCGTCAATCACCCCCATGTTCATCATACCTGCCACAGCCTCCGCAGTGGCGACGGCGGCAACCACTACCCTCACTCTCACCAACGGTCAAAACGTTTTTGACGGCCCCCAACCACCACCCTCGCCATCACCACCCGCACTTCCAGCGATGTGCACTTGGTCCTTATTTGTCCCTATTGCGAACGCACACTCCCCTCACGCATCGGCCTGATCGATTACTTGTGAGTTCATTGCACTGCGACCGGCGCACCAGCGTCAAGAGCCCCATAAACACTTTCTGCGTGCGCTTTCACTGTCCACACACGTTTTTTCACTGCATGGGCCTATGTAGTCATAAGCGTTTCCACAAAAGTGGAATTCGCTACAGTGTCGACACATCTAGCACACTTTGCAAATCCGCCAATTCTCTCATCCCCAGCCTAACCAACATCCCATCAACCAGTGCACCCAGCATCGGGAGCACCACACCCACAACCGACCTAACATCTCCCGACCTGTCCTGCCCACACTGTCACCATACGTTCACCTAACGCATCGATCTGGTCGGCCACTTGCGATTCCATCACAAAATACATACACCAAACGCCATCGTTCCAACTGTCAACACTGCCTCCGCACATTCAGCCATTACATAAACCTATTCGGTCACATGCGCACTCATGAAACCCTGCGGCAACTCCCCACAGACATGACCACATCGCTCTACATTCACCCATCAAAACATGTCCCACGCACAAACTCTTCCAAAATCCCACGCCATCGGTACCTCTCGCGTAAGTGGGTAGTGTGCTTTTCGGCCCATTCTTCATGTGGCTCATCTGCTGCGTGTGGAATCAGAGCGGTCTACCCCCCTGTGTCAAATCCCGACTCGTGCACATGGGAAACAGGTCGTGTGCGACACGTGCAGACGAGTCGTTCCCAGCTCTGTCAGCCACCTTTCCCAACCCCAGCATCAGTTGGTTGACCGGCCCGAAACGTCGGTTGGCGTAGGGGATGGGGTAGACTGAATGAGGTCGACGGCCTCAGCACATACTCCTCACGATTGAGATTATCACGGTGAGCTAAAAACCGTGCCTTGGCGGGCTGAAAACTGACAGGATGACTCAAACCATGCGATCAGTTCACTTGTGTGTATGGGATTCGAGTGGCTGACTGGTGGACCGAGTCAGGCTGCAATGACTTCTTCTTAATGTGGCCTTTATGACACTGCGACTCAGTTGGATCCGAGCTGTTGTGGTGGCACCCTTAGTTACGGTGTTTGTTGTGCCAGCCACCTGCGCCCTCTTCCGCCCCCATCTCTCTGACCCTGTCATGATGCCGGCCCCAAATAGAGATGAGTGTGGTAGATACTGCGCAAGTCACCGTGCCTGGTCCCACTCTGATGTGGGACACACGATGGACATCACTGGAAACGACAGTCAAAATGTCATTTATTAATTCCACCAGACTGGAAAAAGATACCATTTAGCGACTTCAAAAAAGAATGCGTGAACGCTACGCTTCGTCAATTTAATAGCAAACCAATGCATTATTTCAGCATAGGGCTTAAAATAACAATGGATGTTGCGAAAGATAAAGATGGATCCAGAAAACTAAGCTGGGAGTGACTTCTACTCCTCCATATAATGCATGCAAAGCAGAGGGGTTAAAAGTTTTTAAACAGGAAGCGCGCTACCAAAGGTCTTGTTAAGAAGCAATAATTTTGTCTAAACATTGTCAGGCTGCTCATAAGTTATCTTTTAGGCAAAATTGTTAAGCTTAAAAGACGAAGTGATTAAAGTCCCAAACAAATAACAAAATACATCTTTATATACCCCAGCCAGAACGCGTACTTTGGGACTCCGCGTAACATAACTGAGTGATTTTAAATCAATAATCCACATACTTAAAACTTAAAATAACTCAATAACTAAGTTTCGCCTCTACGCTACACCAAGCATGATTCGCTCTGAAATATCCTAAGATATGTGTCTTCGGACACTTTCAAGACCATTTTATGGGACTTTGGAAAAACGTGGCTGGTCGGGGAAATGTAACGATTTTGCCTTTTATCTAGCATGCAACATTGACAAAGGCGAGTTTAGCAGAGGAAAATAGCCCTGATAACTACTAGAATTGAGGTTTTCTCCCGTCGCTAGGAAACGAAGGTCAGTCGTTGCCATGCTCACTCAGAAATAATACATCCAGGTACAGGCAGAAAGGCAGAAACCCAGAAATAGCTGGACAGTAGACACAAGTAGGTCAAACGAGTTTGCTTTTGGAAAGTCTCCACAAAATGACATTGCCTGCGCGAATCATGTAAAAGCTCAAAAGCGTTATAAACACAAAAGATGCATGGTTGGATTTTGAACTCATTAAATTCCCCCGGCCTTTGGTGGCATTAAGCGCCTAAGCGAAGCTCCTCATTCGAGGAATGCACGATTGCGGATTATTTTTCACGGTTCTACGGGTCGCAACCGGTTACTAAGCGCAAATATCTTCCACCATAGTCTGTGCTCAGATTTTGCTTGTGTATAGTCATCAGTCACGCGGGGAGGGCGCGGGCAACCAACAGTCCCAGTAATAGCGAGTTGATCTTGTGCGATTGAAGCATGCAAAGCCAAAGCTTCTTTTGAGCACGAAAGCGAACCGGTGACCGCGATAAGAAAGGACCCAAAGAATGTATCTAAAACACTCATTCAAATTTCTATTTCGCAGCTTCGTTACCTGTGCGTTAGCTATAAGTCACCCCTTCAGGCAAATTCTTACAATGTGAATCTGAGTCTCTAAAAAGCTACTATGTTTTCAAGCCTCCAGATGGACTTTACAAATGCTTGCAACCTCAAAAAACGTAATTAAGGGATGGTGTACAGTCTGTCAGTTAAAACGTAGCCAACGACAGTTTTTGGGTCTTGAAAACGAACAAAAATGTAGGCCGAGGTAAGTGGACCAATGAGGACAGCAATCGTCTAGACCGTAGTAAAAACCATCAATTTTGCGGAAACAGCCGATCGTACTATCGAATAGACTGAGTTAGCTAGCATTTCGTATCCAGATGGGTAGCTGTCCGAAGTTTAAAAACGTATACCCCTTAAACTAACCCCAACCAGGGAGTCATAAGAGAAGTTTAAGTAGAGATTTTTGAGGTGAAATGCCGGTTTGATGTACTTCTAATTTAATGAGCCATAAATTTTTTCTTCCATCACTTTTTGCAGAAACCCCTAATTGCAATATGCTCGATGGATACCGGAAGATAATGGCTACTTGCGCAATTATGTCTACCAATGCATACGTAAACGGCACCAGATATCAAATTCAACCAGCCCCAAATTTTGGCTACCACTCTGAATGTGAAGAACGTCTTAGGAGCCGTCAATCGCCTTCCCACTTCACTTGGAATTTGGGTTGCACACAGGCCGGATGCAACCATCAGACGGCAGGCCATGAGGCCTAGGAATCCACTGCCTTGGCAGGAGAGGTCTGGAGTCGTTTACTATGACGGTCAAAGAAACTACATCGGAGAAGCTAAGAAATTACTCCGGACGCGGATGACCGAGTACGCAGCAGCGGTGAGGACGAAAAACGCTAGATCTCAGGTGGCGGCACATTCGACGGGACCCGGCCTTATTTTCAAGTTTCAAGAGGTCAAAATCCTTGCGAGAGGTGACAACCACGTGAACCGCGAGCTGCCGAGTGGTGGTTCATGGACCCGCAATCAATCAACAAGCGCAATGACCTCCCGTTGTCGTATTCTGTGCCGAGATTTTCCCTGGGCAGGGGAATCAGTTACGTGGGGAGGGCGCGGGCGAGCAATAATCCCAGTGACAGTGAGCCAATTTGTCGAGCAATTATCACACCAGCATTCAACACGGATGAAGAAATCACGACCATTAACGACTCGGACGTGGACTGACAAGCCACCATCGCATCAATTACGACGCCCAGCGGTGATTGCGAAAGCTGTTACTTAGAGTACGCATGCGGCGCCACGGCAGCTAAGTCCTATAAAGACTGTAGTCTTTGTGCCTCCACTACCTTTATTTGCAACCGTCTCCGATGATGGGTTCGAGTGAGAATGCGAAACGTCAGGCCAATAAACTTCTCGCCTCAATGGTCGCATCTTCTTCCTCTGAACTGCTTCATGGAACTCACCTGTTCGCTGCTATCTGATGGGTATATTGGTACAGAGTTGTTTCGGGTTTGTCTGCCTTCATCTAGTCAATCATAAACCTGACACCAGCTGGACCCAGAAACACAAACATGCCCAAACACATCTGGCGCAGGTGGTCCACCACTGGGGTCAACCAGATGAGTCAAAAGCACTTCATCGAACCGAAGTTCATCAGCCCCTCGCCGCGTGCATTCTCTCGCTAGTGAGAGGGGTAAGGAGCGAAAAGGGCCATGAGACAACAAGTGTCGATATCACTACTCTAAAGGCAATTTGGCCATCATACGTCTGCTTTCGATAAATTCTCTTCAGGCCTGTACATTCATATGGCCATTTAAGTAATGAATTAAAAGATATGGGCAATTTGATAATTAAGCTGTAGCTCGGATTTGGGGAGGGGAGGAGAGGGGGAGAGCAAAAAATCACAATTTCAGTCAGCGCCATGGAGAAGGTGGATCCCGGCGAAGGTAATTACATGCGGGTGGCTGGCTTGGTGTCTTTGAGCCATGGCAACTATGGGACCTGTATGAAGTTCTTCTGTGCGCATAGGACCGGTCCGCATAGCCTGATTGCAGCCGTCTTTGCCATAACCAACACGCGCTGCCCAATTAATTTTTGGATAGCTTTATGGTACCTTGTAAACCACTCTGAAGGCCTCTCCGGCGTCTACACGGTGGTCTGTTTCTACCATGTGCGCGAGGATCGAGCTGTTAGTGTTCTTTATTTGACCCTTTCCTAACCATGCTGGAAGATGTTCTTTTATTCTTTTGGATAAACGCCGGCTCGTTCGACCAATATATTCTGCCCCACAGGGCCAGGTGAAGAAGTAAATACACATTGAGGTGGTCTGGGCTGGTAGTTTGTCCTTGCCCTCTCCGTATAGGATGGGACTGTTGGAGAACAGTGCACGGGTGTCAGTTGCTGGAAAGGTCTGTGATACAGTTTGAGTTAGGTGTCTTCTTAAAAGTTTACTTGATGCATCCCGTTGAAATGGGACCCTGATGAAGAGCCCTTCCTTGCCTGCCGTCAGTATCGGGTGCTTTTGCGGTCTTTCGGTCATGTTCTTAGTAATGAATCGATCAGGATACCCGTTCTGGCGAAAAAGGTTTTCCGTGATCTTAAGCTCTTTCTCAACGCTATCAGCTGAGCAGATTCTTCTCACTCTTTCTGTCAAACAGCGGACTAAATTATGTTTAACGATTAGAGGTACGAAACTCCCAGAATGGGTCTACAGTAGATGTGCTAACTCATGAAATGTCAACCAAAATTTCGAAATGCGTCCTCGTTTCAAAAAAGATAAATTAAGTAGTGTTGTAAAACTTTTAATGATGCAGCATAAATCTATAATGATCCAGTTACCTCAGCGTGTCGGCTTTCGAAAGAACTTATTTTCGGCTGCATACAAGATCCATACTCTGCAAAAAATGACTACTTAAGTAGTATGCAATTTTCTCATTGATTTTCGATGCCCTTGAAAATGCAACTATATTTCGTGGAAAACATGAAAAAAATATTCATTCTTTTACTTATTCAGTAGAAAATCACATCTTCTTCCAATTTCATACTCAAAAGAAGAGTATAATTCGGTTTTAAAAAACTTTTTTAATTCCCGAATAATTTTGTCCGGACAACGTTTCCTTACGATAGACACTACGTCGAATGCTGCCGTCAGGCCTTCTATTCAGAATCACATCCAGAATGGGAAGTGAACCGGACTGTTCTTCATCCAGAGTGAATTTTATTGATGAGTGCGCCTGATTTATGTCATGCAGCAGAATTGAGATGTCTTTTTGTTTCGGTGCAATTGCGGATATATCATCCACTTATCGCCCATAGTATCTTAAACCATTGATCTGGTGACGTAACTGGAAAGCTTATAACTTTCCCATGAATATATTCACCAAAAGCGGGCCAAGGGGCGAGCCCATAGCTACGCCATCCATCTGCCTATATAGATTGTTGTCGAATAGGAACTGCACGTTCAATAACAATTCCTTGAGGACATTCACTGGCATTCCTATATCCTGTTGATTGTCGGCAATGACACATAAACACCAGACGATGATTCCCAAAGCAGGAGATCAAGAACTTTTGAGAATACGAAAAAGTGAGTATATGTTCACCCTACACGCCGACAAGGGGTGCTGGGTGGTCGTAATGGATAAGGCCTAGTACTGGGCAAAACTGGAAATTCTCTCGATGGACAAGGAGTCTTATGTGCCATCGACAGCTAACAAGTTCAAAAAAGCTCGCGAACAACACAAAAGAGATGACCGGCAAGTTTAGAAACGCGTGAACTCTCATGAGAGGGGGAGCGCTAGCCACAAAAGCCATTGACGTCGCGATAGCGCGCTTCAATGGTTCACCAATAAACTTCTTGTCCCACTAATCGCATCTTCTTCTAAACACCATATTCCTGCAGTTTTTAAAGCACGCATAACCAAAAACTCATAGTAACGACGTTAAAGGTTCTACCCAGGTAGTGTGAAAGTTAATCTCCGTAGAATGAGGGTGATCCGTATGATATATTATTCGGTTACTTTCATAGATTAGCTTGACAGTCCTTCGATAGCCTAATCCAGCATAAGTAGTAGCAAGAAGGCTTCTGGTACTTATTCTACCTTACATTTTCAATATGTCGAGAAAAGCCAGAATTTTTCAATAGTCTTTATAATTCAGAATGTCAGGGTTTTGATTATTCATCTCATAGACTTGTGAGATAACTTCGAATCCATAATGATTCTCCAAATTTGAAAGTCAGCAGTGATGTCATCATGATTCTACCGAAAAAGCGGACGCAGGATCTTTAAACTTCGGATTTCCTTTCCAAAGTCGACCTTCCGGCACTGTTATATGCAGTACAAGCAGTATATTTTTGGCCAAAAAACCAGAGAACATGAAAACAACCAAAGGAGTGCGTACGGACTAGAGCTACTTTTTTTCTCTTAATGAGGATTAAACAGTTTTACTGACTACTGCTTAGTTTGTGAGCAAAAGGCACAGAAATTTCAAGGTACCTTATTGATTTTTTTTCATCCAAGAAAAATAATTTGCGTAATTTAAGAGTAGTTTCGTGTTTGTTTTCAGAATTTAACTGACCGATTTCATGTACTTTTATAGACTCAAATGACTCCTCAGTGCCTAAAGGTTTTTTGAAATACAAAGCGGCCGTACACCGATATACTTAAATATCTTGTAAATATGTCGTTGAAACGTCTGATTTCAACCTATCAGCAAATTCCCTCAAACCTAGGCGAATGTTTAAACTGTCGATTTTCAATATTAATATGACCAAATACTGGACAAGCTGGTCTTACGAACCTTCCCAAAAGCAAGGGTTCAAATATCATTTTTACTAACCCTATTTTGCGCGTAGAAGGTAAGGATAAGTTGCCAACTCAGACCACCTCAATGTACATCAACTCCTTTACTTGCTCCTATGGAGCAGGTCATATTGGTCGCACGAGTCGGCGCTTATGCAAGAGAATACAAAAACACTTTCCAGCATGGTTGGGAAAAGGCCAAACTAGGAGCATAAGCAGCGCCATTCTCGTGCACGTTGTAGATTCCGGACACCGTGTGGAACCCAGAGAAGCTTTTCGTGTGATGTTTACGGCACTGCCGAGCTACCCTAAGCTGCTGAGCCAGTGCCTGTTAGCAACAGCAAAACCGGCTGGCATCAGGTTACGGAAACCAATCTTGTTCACGCAGAAGAACCACGTTCAGGCTCCGCATCTACCGTGGTCGAAGGTCGACTAACTGCAACACTCATCCCGTCCCTGGCATTGACTGCTATTACCCCCCTCGCTCCACATTTGCACACCCCGCCCGTGTTTTAAGACGAATATTAATCGGTTTCTCTTATCACCGAAATGTCTTTGCTTCTACCCCGTTCTCACATGAATGTACCGGCCTGACGAGAATGTATCGAAAACAGACGTATACTCGCCAACTGGCCTTCTGAATATCGCTATGGGACTTTTCGCAATTCCAAATACTGGACTCCTAAGATCGGCGACTGGCGCGTGAATTAGTTTATCCGAGTTAAAAACCCAGACTCTGCTTCGTCAATATTCTGACGCCGCAGGACACATCGGCGAGGGGTTATGCGGCCGACCGATGAGCGGAACTCCTCGCAGTTGTGTCATGTAGCGACAGAATATCGGCGAAATATTTCTCTGGACTTTTGGCTATTGCCTGTGATGCCAGCATGGTAAGTCAAGCAACATGTGTATACTACTGGCTGCCTGCGGCCGTCCTGCAGACGTTAACGGGTTCCGGCCCAGATATTCATATCAACTTCAGGAGTGAGCTTATAAAGTTTCGTTCCAACCTATCTACTCCAAACTACCGCATTACGTTCTGATTAGATAAAAAGGACATAAATCAGACCGCATACATTGACAAACACACATTTTGAGCATATAAAGTGAACTCTTAGTTCATGAAATAAATCAAGATGGAAAATCAAGTAAATTTCGACAAATTAAAACCTTGATTCTTACCGAAGGCTGAGTTTTTGAAGAGCCCCTATCATGTTTTCTCTACTTGCAGACTCCTCCTTCTCCTGAAATATTCGTCGCGCCAGGAGTGTTACAGCGCAGCAATTCTGTGATAAGTAGGCTCGACCCCGGGCCAGCGAAGCAAAAGCATTCACTAAGCGTGCAATCGCTTCAACAACCTTTGGCGAGGCAGAACCGACGCAGATGCTCAATACGGTGCCGTTTGTAGGACTAACGTCAGAGTAGAGCGTCAACTCTAGCAAATCGTTCACGATGAAAGCCGTTAATGCTAGTTCCCTCTGTTCCACGCTCACGCGGGTAAGGCGCTTCAAAGCAAAATAAGAGAAGTTCAGCGTTTAATAGTTATAATCAGTTTTCGTTTTCCACAGTCCCAACCCGTTCCACCTGATATTATATCCACTCACCCTGTCCTTATACGCTGGCAAGGATGCTAGATATGTGGATATCGCTTTAATTCGCCCAACTGCCATGTCACCAATAGGATTTAGAACTATTTATTTGCAAGTATCGAGGATATTTTAAATGGTGTACGTCTCTTCTGTATTCGTATTAGTTCTCTTTGGTTTTTTTCGAAGAACATATCAGAAAGGCAGAGTATAAAATTTCAGCCATTACAGGAAGCAGTACTCATCCACTAAAATTGTTGAGAATACAACACTTACAAAAGCAGATTTGATCAATTTTTAAATAATTCGAATTGTATCAACCCAATTGTAATCTGTAAGGGAGTCACTCGTGATATTCTCAGTCTACCTGAATGGAACTATTCAAAAAAGAATCAAATAGAGCGCATTTATAAAGCAAAGCCATAGGCGCAAGACCTGTGTACAGGAGTTCCGAAAGTGGTAGAGATAAACTCATATGCACATACATTATCGCTATCGGTGAGCGCCCCTCAGTCATTGTTAATTTACCCGATTGCAGCCGACAAGACGAGTCGGGGGGCTCAAATGATAAGGCGTTGGCCTCTAGTCAACAGATCGCGGGTGCGAGCCCCAGTGTGTGTAAAACCTGAAATTAGAATTGGTTGGCTGAAAAACCATAATTTACACTCCAGGCTCCCTTTTATTCGGCGGAAATGTTACCCTGCATAGATATATATATTTAGGCAGAATAGCATTACCGACAAAGACAAGGAAGACTAAAGTGGCCATTTCTGACTCGTTGGCTGTCGCCAGCCAACCATGCCTTACCGCGAGGCATGTAACCCCTGAGATTCAACCTCCAACGCCCCTAACCACTGGGCCGCGGATTCATTGTCCTTTCGGCTGAGATCGGGCATTAAAAATGGTAGAGGGACACCCACCGGTCGCGTTACGGAACTCACTCATCCTGTTGTGCCTTGGAGCTCTTTCTCGAGCACCGCCAGCAGCCGCAAAGGAGTGTGTTTGTCTTCGCACACCTCTCTCCCAGACACACCAAAAATTCTTATGAGAGCGACGTACAATATCGTAGATAGCCCTCGGAAATTTTGATCCTCTACCGGCTAAACGGAAGTCGTTACTCACAGAGGAGTTTGGCATTTGCCTAGAATGATTAAACAGACATGTTTTGGGGTAACGTTGCCTGTCTCTAGTGGACGAGAGGACTGGGAAAAGTGCTATGGTGGCTGCTGGTAAAACACGCCGTCAGCATGCTTAGCGTAGATTGTGAACGCAAAACATACGGCTGAAACAACATCAAAACAGCTAATACAACTGTCCTCATCCCTGTACATCCCCACAGGCCGCCAGGGCGACACTGAACCTGGAAGTCTGCAATTTCTCCTAACTTTTAGACAATCCAATTGCAAACTGGCCGAAAAGAACCAAAGATCTGGTCACCCACTAACTGGTCCTCTACCAAATGGACATTCGGTTCTAAGTGAGACCCGTTTCTCTGCAAACACGAACAGCTGCAGGTAGGTGCTCGATACACAGTCTTCTTGAGCAAACGTTCAAAAGCAGAGCGATGAGACGCCGGAGTCACCTTCGACATCAGCAACGTCGTGAGACAGCTGTCCTTCCTGCCACTGGACTTCGATAAACGTCTCATGATCACGAGACTGCCATTCCGCGAGAACGAACTGGCCACTACCGTCAGCACCTACATCCGCACAATAACTAACTAAGAGGATGTGAAAAACAAGCTTTACGCAGATCTACATGTCCGCCTGACGACTGTGCCGAAGACGGACAAACTGGCTGTACGTGATGATTATAATGTCCGCGTCGGCATTGTCCATTTCGCCTGTGAGGGAGTGCTAAGTCGACATGAAATCGGCAGCTGCAACAGCACTGGTCTTCTCCCCCTGCAAGCTTGCACGGAACACAGGCTTCTCCGGACCGACACCGTCTTCCGATGCGGGAGATAGCTGCGTGAATGAATTTTCGGTCGCGTCACTGAGGTCATCTGGACTACGTCCTCGACCGGTGGCGTGATCAGCTTGATGTGATATTGACTAGGAAGGTGTGAGGCGCAGACTGCTAGACGGAAGACGTTCGGTCGTTTCTAAGACAGGACTTCAACTGCAACCGCGTAGACCACCCTGTGGCAAGTTGACATCAGCTACGTTAACTACTGAACTACTGGATTCTGCTGAATGTCGAATGAAATTTGGCTGCTGCATGAAATTCAGTCAGAAACAAGTGCGAATTCGGAAGGCGCCCAAAAATATCGAAACCCAGTGGAAGGAGATGTGACATATCATCCAGGCTGCGCACGCGTTGAACACCGGGACTAATTTAATGACGATGACGAAAAAACCGCAATCTGCTGTGGGGAAAATAGTCTGCAAAATGCCTACGCCATTACTAGTAACAGTGCCGATAAAGTCGCATACTTCCGATGTCGGCGCCTAGTACATCAGAGACTTGGAGATTCAGAACGACTGGCTAAATCACAGAGCTGGTGAAACCCAGGAATAAGTCGAACGTGTCGAGACAAGGAATCTCTTTACGGAAACTAAAACAGTTTACAGTCTGCAGGCCAAGGGAACCACGCAACCGCTCAATCACGACGCCGCAACTCTACCGACGGAGAAATTGAAAATTCTGGAGCGTTGTACTCAGCACTTCAAATGCGTACTCAATCGGTCATCGGCAACTTCCAACGGACCCATCTAAAAACACCTCAAATTGGAACCAACGACGAACTCCACTGTCCACCTACCTCCCTGAGACAATCAGGACAGTGCAACAACTGACTGGTAGGAGAGCACTAGCAGACGCAATTCCGGCGAAGTATACAAGTACAGCGGCCAATGACACATGGGAAAGTTTACCTCGCTATTTCAGATGTGGCAACACGTTCACACACCCAAGACTTCAAGGATACCACATGGTGCAAATCTGAAAACTCAAGAAGAACCCGCAACTCTGTGAATACCGCAGAGGCGTCTCTCCTCTCAACATCGCAGGAGAAATCTCCGCTCCTCTCCTAATCAATCACTTGAACAGGCATTTGAAGCAAAGCCGTCTTCCAGAAACGCTGCTTAGATTCCACAAATACAGCGAAACTACAGACACGAGCTTTGCGGCCCGCTAACTGGAGGAAACATGTCAGGAAATTAGGACTAACCTCTACGCTATCTTCGGGGGCCTGGCGAAGGCCTCCGGCACAGTGAATCGCAGTGGACTCTTGGAAAGCAAGATGAGATTCGGATGCCCTGGACAATCTACTCAAATGGTAAGACAGCTTCACGACAGAATGACGGCTCACGTCACGGACAATAGGGCGGTCTCCGAAATGATCGCGAGGGCCAACTGCTTCAGTATCATGTTTCTCTCTATGCTGATAGAAGCCTACTGTGATGAGCGGACGAGGATAGGCATCAACCATAAGAGCGACGGAGAGTTTCTCAACCTCCCTAAGAGGTAATCACCTAGGAATTTCCAAGGCCAGCGTCTACAAACTACTGCATGCGTTAGGCATGGACCTCCTTACTTCCAGTCGCAAAAATTGTGGACATCGATACGGAAAATTTTGTGATTATGCGACGATCAAAACCGCCTGATGAGTACAACGCGTCTATGATCGGCTTGAATGGACCCCGGTTCGCATCTGTAAACGAATTCGCGTACCTGAGATGTGAACTTTCAAGAAACATCCAGATTGATGAAGAAATCGCAAGTCGAACTTCCAAAGTCAGCCAGGTCTTCGGCCGGCTACAACACCCCGTCTGGAATCGTCGCAGCATCCTACTCAGCACAGAACTCAGGATATAAGGAGCTCTTGCCCCGACAAAGCTCTTCTAAGGGACCGCGACGTGGACTCTGTATGAAGGTCGAGAAAGAAAACTCAACCATTCTCATTTCAGCTGCTTCTGAAGAATGCTGAAGGTTAACTAACTGGAAGAGACCCTCGACATGAAAGTCCTGAAAATAACCGGAGTGGCAGATTTAACCGTGATGGGGTGGTTAAGTGGTGAAAGTGGACAGCTAACGTCTGCCCAAGCAACTATTCTACGGCGATGTCGCCATGGGCGCTCGTAGACAAGGCAGGCCAAAGCGTCGTCACAAGGACACATTGAGGACCTCTCTCAAGCGCTTGCAAATTAACTCCGACGTCTAGGAAGACCTCGCTCATGATCAGCATGCCTGCCGCACTGCCGTCAAGACTACAGCGCCATCCTCGATAGCCACTAAAAAGGTGGAAGGAAGGACCCACAAGACTCAAGAGCTGCAAAACAACGACCCAAGCAGTTAAATCCGCCATCTTCCTCACACCGTCAAAGGACCATAAGGGCACAGATTGGCCTCGTTGGGCATTTGCGGACTCAGTGCAGTGTCAATAGGGGAAACTCGTCCCATATCTCATACAAAGGTCCCAACACCATCATCACTGCCCCCAGATAGTCCTGTCGCCTTGCTGGCCATCCCAACAATCGCCTCTTACATTAACCATGTTGGTTCTACATCAGTGTGTCTGACGTTTGATCGCACCTCCGAGTAGCCATTAGGTTAAGTAGGCTACTTGCGAATCTATTGCATGGAGGCCAGCGAACCAGTGACAAGGACCCCACTATACACCCGTCACGCACACCTCATCGGCCCACACTGTCGCAGGACATTCAACAATCGCATGGGCTTACTGGGCCATGTTTGACAAAAGGACAATCTTCAATAAAACTACATAATCCAGATCTCCTCAAAACACATTACACACGACAGTTCGACCATCGTTACCGATTATGTCCACCGTGTGCTCCACAGCAGGCTGGGATCAGGGACGGTGACTTGCGCGTGAATTAGCCTTCACCGGTAGCAAACTTTTGGCGCTACATCTAACGCACTCTCTCCTCCCCCACCTGGGCCCGGCATCAAGACAGGGTCAAGAAGACCCGAGGCCGGAGTGGGCGCAGGTGGCTGGCACGGCCAAAACCTGCACCTAGGCGCACAATGACAGCCCCAGGTTCACAGCGGACACTGACCAAGATTTAATACAGCAAGAAAAAAGGGGGCGGCACGAAGTCCCATTGGCGCGGCTTGAGCTGACAACTGAGCCTGCAACCCATTGAAAGAATTGAAGTGGAATGCAGCTTAAACTGGTGAGGCTGCAGGAAAGTTCACCTTGAGACCCCTGAACAGGAAGCCAGTCGCTTGTAGTCCGAGTTCAGAACCTGACCCAAGGATTTCTAAAGGCTGTTACTATTCATGGTTTACAGAGGTGCAACCGATTATGCGCCTCAATTGGTGGCGTGAGTCCTTAAGGTGCCGTACAGAAGTACGACCTAACCGAAGAAGGGCCTTCAGAGGTTTGCCCAAGGATGCGACATTCCAAAAATGATGTGCACACCATATTATAGAAACACCACTTTCGGCAGCGTTATGCTGTCCGGTCGCAAAAACCTGGTTTCATTATGCAGTCTGGTGGAGGACTTCGGTTCGTGGCTTTTCTCGGTAGGGGACACTAAGTGGGTGCTCTTCGCCGATGAAGCCATCTCCTACCTGAAGAGGAGCAATTAAAAACACTGTTGTGAATCGAAAGCGGTACGGTGTGAGGGTCATGGTCCGGGCCCGCATTATGAGGACAGAAATAACTGGGTTGATTTCTTGGCCAAAAGTCTTCGGTGAGACCGCAATCAAACCCGTCATCATCTTCCTAACACTGAGATAGTCCTGTCACCAACTGCTCAATAACAAGTACTTCCTGTAGCATGGTTGTGATTCGATCGTATTATCAAAAATTTCACTCATCTGACGACTGGGATCCATATTGCGACTCAACATCATGTGTGGCATCAGACAAGAGAGCTGGATAAACAGGGGTTTCCAGATATTTAAGATGCAGTTGTGTAATAATTACCCTTTTCAGCTACTGCCTCTAGAATGGTTTCGAGAGCAAATTCAAATCGTCGGACGAGTAAAATTCTTGTATCAGCCTCCTTTCTCTAGAACACATCTTTGGACCCGCATTTCTCCTTGCAACGACAAGTAGTTACTCCTTTAGTCTTGGGGAATGAAATCCTTTGTGGTTTTAATAAGACAAGGCTGCTCCACATTACGAACATATCGTGTGTGACTACCTCAACGAGGTCTTCGACGGGCAATGGGTTGATCGGACAGGGCCCTGAAGCGACCATTTAGGTCTTCCGATCTTACCCCATTTAAATCCCAATTCTCAGGTTACCTGAAAAGCCGAGCTCTTAAGAATATGCCCAAACCGTGGAACCATTGAAGAAGACCCTATTTTGAGAATGCAGTCCAGTAACCGCGGACAATCTGCAGCGCGTTCGCCAGTCTCGTTTTAGGACAGGACTTCCTTGTACGCACGCACATGCATGCGCGTGTGCACATAAGCGCTTGGTTTATGCACTCAACTCCTGGGTCAGATTGGTATGATATGCTGTTGTGAAAATAAGCCAAAAATGAGTTGATTCAACATAAAGGCTTCTTTTTCAGCAATATTATCCGGGAGCAACTAATGCGTAGCGCGCACACCTGACAAATAAAGGAGACCACCCGCCAGTAAGGATTTCAGTTAACTTAATTAGGCAAAGAGATTTCGAAAACTATAGCGACGCGCCCAATGAGCACGGATAGAACCAGTTATTGGAAATTAGCTAAACCGCTACAAATTCTGTTGAGCATCATTTTCGTGACCCTTCATAATACTGATTTTTGTAGTAAAAATAAAGCAAACTATTTAAAATGCTGGGCACCGACTATTCTCCACTCTCCTCTTTTAGTCTTTTCAAAATAGGATGCACATTTGCATACAGAATAGTATTAAGAATAAAACTTGCTAACATTAGCAAAACATGCAGGCGTTTGACAGATTACCGCAGGAAGAAGACGAAATAGGTCAAAGTTTGAAGACTAATCAAAATTACAAGATATTATCTCACCCAACGGAGAGCCTGAAGAAGACGCCAGACCTCACGTGGATCTAAAGTCTTCAGAGCGTTTTTTACTTTATCGAAATTCAAACCGCACAGTTTCACTGAAGCAGTGGCCCTGAAGGAAGATACAAAATACCCTATTGAACTCAAAAGACAAAACACGAAATACTATAGTTTACATCGCAGAAAACTGTAAGACAGTCAGACATCAGAATGAAAACGAGCACAAGAAAAGTTAAAGTTTTAGGCATTTTTTGAAGTTCAGTTGACTTATTTATAAGTAAAAACGCTTCAAAAACAAAAAATGGTTACGGAATTTTTAAAATTTAAGGATTTTTAAGGATCCTGACTAGTGTATCGACAGTATGTACAAAACCTGACGTCAGCAAAAATAGAGCCACTGAGTAAAGACGTAAGAGAAAATTAAAAAGAACATTTCCTACACGATTAAGCACCGCTGCCAGTACCAGCCCCTCCTAGCCCCGCCTAGTCCCATCAAAAATGGCGGGGTTAGAGGGGGCTATGAAGGGGCTAGGCGGGGCTGTGGAAGGGGCTTTGGCGGGGCATTCAACACGACAGCCCCGCCTGGCCCCACCAACGAAATAAAATTCCCAGGTACGCGGGAAGAGCAGATCAAGTTTATTAGCGCAAAATGGCCATTTGGTGAGGGGATAAACTAGCCTTTGGGTCTGGTCAACCTATAATCAACCCTGCCAGCACCAGCCCCGCGTAACCTCCTCAAATATGGCGGGGCTAGAGAAAGGCTATGAAGAGGCTGTGGCGGAGAATTCAACACGACAGCCACGCCTGGCCCCACCAACTAAAAAATGCACAGGGGACGCCAGATTTCCGCCCACTTTTAGCACTCCTTTAAAATATCGACCTGTATGATGAGTCCCCTGAGGCGCACACACACATAATACCTGCTGGCAGAAGTTTCAGAGCTCAGAATAGGCCTTTCTCGTTCAGGAGCTTGATTGCTAACTGCTGTCGACGTTGAGGGAACCTCAGACTCAGGCTCTTCAGTGGCCTCATAATATGCCTTCATCTGGTGGTATGGTGACAGCCACAGTAATTACGCTTCATAATTGCTTTGGATATTCAGTAAAAACGATTAAAAAATTGTATAGGTGGACTATGAACACCACTGCTAACTAGTAAATACATGGACATACAAGACGATTACTTGAATTGGTTTACGAGTAAATACCCAAACAATTAGCATAAGATACATAAATTAATTAAGACAGTTATTAAGAGCATGAAAACAGCATTGGTTGACACACGATATTATCCGCGACCCGTGGGCGTAAACAAATGCTTTTTCCATGATTTGTAAGCCACTTTTAATAAATTAGTCCCTTTTAATTCCAAAGAAGGTACAATGAGTGGTGGTTCAAATACGCTTCAAAATGTTTCAATCCAGAGGGGGGTTCTGGACCACCCAGCCCCTTCTCAGCCCCGCCTATGAAGGGGCCATGTGCTGGCAGGGACGTAGGGTGAACAAGGTTGGAAATCTGCTTCATTAAACTGCTCGCAGATCTGTCCACACATAAAAGATAACCTGCAAGACTGTGATGTAATGGAGTCTGAAGACAATATATCCTAGAATTCCCCTTAGGTGCGGTACGTATTAACAACATTGCTCAGTGAGACGCTGTATAGTTGTTTGACTGGGGAACAATGTTTAGGGCACTCCCAAAGCACCCAAAAATGACAGGGTCATATTAGGTTCAGTTGTCAATGCTGTGCTAAAAGCAGAGCAAAAAATTACAACAATTTCCAACGGTACAACTTCCATAGATGCTGTCGCTATTCGTGGATATGTATGTCCAAGGCATGCTTGAAATAGCTTCCAAAAAAACAGCACAGCGTTCAATTTTGCAAGACAGCCACAGATACTTCACCTGGGAGTGTAAAACATCACATTTTATG